AGCTTCTCCACATACTAGTTGGCTTCCTTTAGGGGCTTTCTATGCTGGAAACTCAGAAACAGCTGGACTTGCAAGCTGGAGAGAAAAATGGATCCAGAATCAGAGTTCTCCCTTCAAGGCTGAGGTCCAATGTCTGACTTCAAAGTGTCTAGTGACCCTTAGGACGCTGTCTCAAAGTCTGCAGCATTGTTTCAAAAGTAATCTAATATACTCATACAGAGTAACTTGTAAAGACCTGTAGTTTTGTTCTGGGCCATGCTGCCTCACATCCATGAGACATTATCATGACACTGTATAGTCTGCCTTGTCTAGAGGGTACTATCTTGACATTACTTATTATTGTTGAGAATTTATTTCAGAAAATAGTTGTGAGTGAATGGTTTTGGTATTTTTTTAAAACTCTGCAATTAAAAGTGTTCACTTCTGTGCTTCTCTACAACAGATGATTTATTTTTAAAAGCAGAATGCATAGCAACAGGATTCCCAAGCTTTCTTTTAAGATGGCTAGCATATATGCTCCTTAGAAAGTATGGATAAGGAACACAAAAGAAAAAAAAAACCCACATGCTTGTATTACGCTTGTCATGTACACAAAAGTTTTTCCTAGTTTGCTTCCTATGTTTAGAAGAAAAATCCTATATGTTATGGGATTTGTGCAGCACTGAGACAAATGGGAGTTCTGATCGCATGCTCGCAAACATATGTTGGCCTTTTATTTTTCTTTTTAAAAAGACTCTGTTCCCATCTCTAATTGGAACTGTTAGTATTAATTCAATTTTTTTCTTTATCCCACTGCAATCCACAATCTGATTGGTTGGCAGGTCACACTGGCACTCCTACCTGAGGTATTTTAGCGCTAATGATTGGTTCCTGTAAGACTATTCTATAACAGAACACAGGAAGAGCAATTCAAAAACACAGCTGTGGAGGGAAACCATCAGACACAAAAAAGCCCAGCGAAGGGCTTACCAGCCTTTTCTTTCCTTAGGATGCAAGCACATGTTTCACAGAAAGGTTTGGTCCTTTAGGATAGCTGCTTTTGTGAAATAAATAAACCACACTAGAAGAACCTGTGATCAAAGCTGTTACTCCCCACACCTACCCTCTGCACCCTGGGGCTGCATTTTTAATGCCAGAGAGCAATAAATCTTTAGCATGGAAATAAAGTAGCTAGGGATGTTTGCCCCAGAAAAGAAAAAGGAGACAAGGATAGGAAAAAAAAATAGAAAAGCAAAAGATGTAAGAGGAATCTGAGACCACTATTTTCTCTTTCTAGCTTCATATACTCTCAGTTCCATAGATTGCCATTAACTTGGTTTCATGAGAATGACTTTGTTTAAACCTTCCTTCATTCCAGTTTTTAAGAAACCTTCCTCTATTTCTAGCATAGCTACACATAGCTGAGGCTTTCTTCACTCCTCCCACAATAGTGATTTTCCCACAGAGGCAGCAAAATGAATTGCTGGTGAATTATTATGGAGAAACAGCACCCATTTGATTCATGCCAATTAAAACAGCAGAAAGCAGATGGCTTAGAAGTTATGATTGAGATGTCACCACTACAGTTCATTTCCGTTAGCAACGAAAAGCAATGGAGAAAGTTTGGTTCATCTGCTTTGAGAGATGAATTTATTCTCACCAGTCTCAAAGAATGACATATCCATTTGAATATTAAAAGCAATATAATTCTAGACCTTAAGAAAATATCAAGAGTATTTTGCAATAGGTGATGATGTGATGATGCCACACTCCCCATATTACTCCTTCATACTAGAGGAGTAAGTTGGGGAATTACCCAGCTGGACACTTCTCTTATTATATTGCATTAAAATGCAGCACAAAGGATGTCATCCATTTGCTTATATTCTCATTGCATCTCCTCTGTATGAGATAATAATTCGGCAGTGCGGGGGGAAGGGGGAAGCGTAGCCATTTTTCTGTTTTTCTACACAAATTACATAATGAAATCTGAACAAGGTAGAAAAGTGCACAAACAATTCTTACAACTTGAAATAGAATAGTAATAGTTCTGTTTATAGGCAGAATATCTTCCTAACTTGCTGTATCTAGCTTCTGCAAGGGAAACATCTTTTTAAGGCTCATAAAAACTGATAAAGACTAGAAGCAAGTGAAGGTTGCCCCACTTATTATCTAGAATGAATTTCAATAATTATATGCCTTTTAAAATGAAATTACTTTCTCTAATAGTCAGTATATGACATTCACTATAATATCACCACAAAGATTCTGTCTCTGCTATCTCTGTCCACTGACTTCACAATAAGAATTATATGTTAAATTAATTTAATGAAAAGTTTTATTGTCAGCTGGTATTTTAGCTTATCTAGGAAATATATAAGATATTCTTTATTTACTGTGCTTTTGACCACCAAATAACCACCGATGGCTGGGCAGTAAGCAAATAGTTCTTCAGTGTCCATGTGCTGACTTAGAGCTTACATGTGTTAAATTCTAGATCTTGCCTAATTTGATGCCTTTCAGATGTGTTGGACTGCAATTCCCATAAATGCCAGCCAGCATGGGCATGGCCAAAGTCAGTCCAATCTGGAAGACATCAATCAGGGGAAGCCTGGTATAAGGACTGCTGTGAACTAGACCAGCTGATTCAGAAAGTACAAGAAAATACCCTTTTAAACTAAATTTTTTGACTCAAGGCAATTGTGGAGAACAAAGTAAGGACATGAAATATGTATGGTCCCATTTAGGAGATAAAGTGTCAAAATGCTAAAAAAATAATTATTTATTATTTATTCATTTACTCTTGGGTAAAATATTTAACATGCTGCAAGAGGCCTACAAATTCACCTTTATATGTTTGTGGACCTTGAGTTCCTTAGACTTCATTCCTTACATAAATTAAGCTTTCAAAAGATCTCAAGAGGAGAAAGGAAAGGGATAAAGGAAAGGAAGGATCTGAGGCAAGATCAGCCTTCTCGTTTTGAGTATCCAATTATGCCAATTAAAAGGGTAATGATGGAAATTTTAATTTGTTAATTGTATCTCAGGCTGATTAGTACTACACCGTACCTTTGTGAAAAGAACACTCAGTATTTTGAACCTGGCAATGGTCAGAAAACCCAGCTCAGGTCTGCACCCAGGGTCAAGTGCAATAACAGAGAAACATGCTTGCATTCTTTAATATATAATATGTATATATATCCACAGGGAAGAAGAAAATTAAAGAAAATTATATTTGGAAACACAAAACTAAACCAAAAACATCATCATCATCATCATCATCAACAACAACAACAAAAAAAAAGGCTGGCTTGTCATGGGTTGGAGATGAGAAGTCTCCAGTGTATGTACTTACATAGAGGTCAGCACCGTAAAATCCGTCCTGGTAAACCACACTGCAGAAAATCCACACAAAAACAAAACAAAACAAAAAAACAAAACAAAAACAAAAAGAACAGAAAACACATTCCGGTTATTGAGGACGGCAGCATGCACATGCATTTTACACAGGCAGGTGATGTATGAATCCATAACCTGGGCTTTCGGGCAGGAGCAAATCAGCAGAGTTTGTGTTTGTGCACGCACACTAGACAGCTCCATGTCATTCTTCATGGCATGCAGGTGGGCAGGGCAGAAGGGGAGACAGTATGCAAAGGGGGGATGGGGAGAAAACAACCTTTATGCTGTACAATAGAGTGTTTTTTTTTTTAAATAATGCCTTGAAGAAGAGAAGTACGACTTGAGAAACCTCGACTCTAGTCATTAACCTGGAAAGGCTTTAATTAACCCTCTAAACAAATGAATCAACTGGTTTTCATGTAACGGGCTCCAAGTAGAACAAGCAAGGTCATTGGGAGTAGTTCATCCAGTGCTGTAGTCCACCTAGATCAAAAACACACCAAAAGTTCTGTATTCGTCTGCATCTTGCAGCCTTGTGTGATCACTTCTGATATCCATACATCACCCATTTTGCTTTTTTTTTTTTTTTTAACATTAGACATGCAATAAGTTTTGGCTGATCACACAAGCATGCAAAGTATTATTATTTAGCATCTAAAAGTATTGATTCAGAGTAAAAATCCAAAAATCATTCAATTCTGATCAAAGTAACCAAAAATAAATGTAATAAAAATACCCACAATGCATTGCTTTCACAAGCAGAGATCATGAGCTAAAACGGTTAGGTAACTGATCAAGGCTGCAGAACTGGAAAATAAGAAAGTGGGTTCCCTGGGTGGACAGTAATGATACATTCTACAGAGAGACCAGCACCTAGCTCTCTTTTGAATCTAACAGCTACTAAATAGCTTGTTCTAGCACATCCAGAAAGAAATGAACTGTGAAATTACAACTTATTTCATAGAGTAATAGGGCTGTTGTGTTGATAGGGCAAAAGATCAGGGAAAGATAAGAAAGGAAAAGAGAGCTTGCCACAGCCCTGGTTATGAATGCATGCTTTGCACAGCTTTCGGTAACTTTATTCATTTGATAGATGAATGCTAAATCACTCATATTAAAAAGCATTAGTTCCCCATATATGAGAGCCTTGTGTGTATGTATCTGGCTTACCAGTTAATGTTATCACAGGCTAGGAGACAATATTACTTGTATTTTTTTTTCCATATGCCAACTGGAGTGCAAAATGATGCCAAGCTTCTCTCACACTGATCAGAACACACCCACCTATAGGAAGTTACAAACAACAAGGCTAGGATAGCTTGGCTGTAAATTTGCTTTATAATAATCAAATTTCTACAGTGATGCAGGCTTATGTTATTAAACTAATCATGCAGCATCACACTCCACTTCAATTTTGAACTACAAAAACATAGCTGATAAGCATAAGTATACTCAGTGACACTTTACTACAGGAAAGTGATGTCAATTCAGCAGGGAGAGGTATGCCATATATAAGACTGATTACAGTGGGGAGGCAAAAATAGGGATCTTTCTTCATTGGTGTTTTGAGTTTATCAACCCCATCTTGTTAATTTGGTAAGTTTGTAAGATGAATTTCAGAGATTTTGCAGTTTACATAAATATCTCCTTTCTTGCCACTGATCACTTGGAGAAGATATAAACACTTACTTGTATTTTCTTGCTTTGCAATGAAGCTTCCTCTATAGCATGTACTAAAAAAGCATGAACCACCAAACCAAATTGGTACTAGACCACAACGAATCCAAAAATCTTCTGCTCTAAATGGTCCAGTTATGACATAAGATACATAGCATACAAGGGTACAGGTTGCTTTCAGTTATTTCCTCATCTCTGAACTACATATTTAACTTGACTGTGTAAAGGTAAAGGGTTATCCTGAGGACCATTTTTGAGAGGAGATCATGAAACTGTCCTCAACTGAAATGTTCAATTGAAATCTCATTGGGATTCTAAAAAATGCACCTCCAGTGAACTAGGTTTTTTTTCTAGAAATATGTTAGCTGTTACTATTAGGGATAATTACAACAGAATGATGTCTTTATAACTTATTATATCTGGGTATCAACCATTAGATATAAAATGGTATTCCACAAATGCTATGTGATTCATGGAAGCTATTCTAATGAACTATCACAGCAATTCTCCCTATACAAATCATGGAGGATGCTGCACGAAGATACTTGTTGCTTTATATGGTAGAACCATAAAATATGTTTATACAAACCATGGGAGAAGGGGGGGGGGTGTAAAGAAAATAAGTATCCAGTAACTGCACAGTGTTTGTAGTCTTAAATGGTAGGCTGTTCAGTTATTAAGATGTTACAACTGATCTATCATGATCTGGAGTATTTCAGTAAATAATCCCCCCTATTAATGTGTACTTCTAATTAAAAGAGAAGAGAACCAGAATCCAACTGTCTCTTGGTATCTTCCTTTCTGCTTAGATTTCTTCCAAGAAAGACTGGACTCTAAGAAATAAGGTGCATTTTTAGATGCAAATGAAATCTTAGAACTGAAACTGGCAACTGAGGTACTGGAATCTTGTCAGTCTTGAAAACATGCTTAAAAAATAAAACAACCAACACCTTTGAAATAAGAGCAGCTTCCATGCTACTGAAACAGTCATAATCTAAGGAAGCAACTCTACATATGATATAGTGCTATCCTGGTTTTGGTTTTTTATTCTAGTTTAAACAAAAACTACTCTTTATTACATATCTGCTCAATCTTTGTTTTAACCCTTCTCAAAATATCTCTAATCAAGAAAGCAAAACCATTGTGGGTAGCTGTCTGTTCTATTCTGGCCAATTTACAGACAATGTATGATGAAGCTAACAAGCAATATTTGTCAATCCTGGGTAACTCAATGAAATTGGACTTCAGAGAACAAGAAGTGGCTTCACTCCACAGACTCTACACCTTTTAGGTAACTCTCTTTTTAAGAATATTCCTCCACTAATTCCAGATTATTTTGTGCTGCCAAAATGTTATTACAAGCTAGAACAATTGGCATATTATTTTTGAACATTTTTTTTCACTGTTGGGTTGCCAATTTAATGTAAAGTTCTTTCTGGTCATAAATGTAAGTTTTTAGATTGCCTTTCCCAAGTATGACGGAGTGCAGAGTGTTATAGTGTTGGCACCTCCTGTCCCTATTTTCAATCCATTGAATGTCCTGTTCTGAAGATCACTGCTGGTGGCTTTCCATTCTTACCCTGGGTAGGCTGGGATGGCTGCTGGAGGTACTGCTCGTACTGCACCATACACTGTCCTTCCTCGTCCCCTCAGATGGGCTCCCCTAAATGCTGCTGCTGTGGTGGCTGCAGTTGGGTAAGGGAAGCTGGGTACTGTGAAGACAGACAGACAAGGAAAAATATGAGAAGAATCAGTTCCTCTGCCCAGTCTATTACAATCATATTTAACTAGACTTATACACAACTCCAGAGATGTGGAATGTTCCGCACCTGTCCTGCAAAGGAGCATGCTTAGAGCTCTGATGACCTCACATACCTCTTGCACATACATGGCCCTGAAGGAAAGGTAGGGTTGCAGAGAGGCCTGGCATGCAAGGGATTAATGCAGTGTCATGCCTTCTTCATCACAAACTGCAAACTATTTCCCCTTGTCCTCCACCCCATTTTGATAATGCCATGCAGTCTGGTTAGAAACAGTCTGAGAAGCGCAGAGAGTTACTACTAATACAGGAAGGTAACTCTTCCATTTACTTGGAATGGGAATGCTTAAAGTGCTCTGTCATGATATGCTTAAACTTGTGAACTAAGAATATGTGTATTATGTCTTTCTCCTTCCAACTCAGTCTTTTCTATCACATGTAATTTAAATATAAAGCAATCAAAACATCCTAATGAAGGCAGCCATAATCAATGATGAGGTGCCAGTTTACCAAGAGCCTACCTTCTGGCAAAGGTGACCATTAAGTGGTTCCATCTATATTGGGCCCTGTTTTATTACACATCATGCTGGAGTAAACTGGCTCAGGGCAAAATGATATTGAAACCTCAGAAGGTGGCTGGGAACACAACGCAATAAAGGGATATTTAGATGGCACCAGTCAGTCACAAGGCAAAATGAACCCAAGGTGCTTCTAGGAGCATGCCACAAGGGGGCCTGCAGTGGACCCACAGTTTAGTAGCATGAATAACATGTACTTTGGAATGCGGCCTGTTACATTGCTAAAACCAGGACAACTGGACCTTCCACATATGCTCCCTCCCTTATAGATTTATAGCAGCCTTATCACCTGGAGAAACCCTAGCCATAAACAGGCTTGTAAAACACATTGCAAGATGGAATGGGTCACCACCACTGCCCAAAGAAGTGGCATTTCTTTCTGTCAAGGCCCATCCTTTCAAGTACATATTATACAAACTGGAAAGTAGAGGGCAAACAGATCACTGTTTACTCAAGCACAGTAACAATACAGGGGCCAATAGGGGCTACTTACTGATTAAAGGAATGTAAGTGTTAATACCCCCCCTTCCTGACAGGGGCACTGCAGCGTCATTGCCCAGCGAGACATCTGCTTGAAAACTGGATGCTAATTTAGTTTTAAAAAGAATAAAAAATGTAAAAAGGTTATAAAGAAACAGTAGATTGAGAACATAAACAAACACCACTGCAGTCAAATGGCAGAAATGGAAGAATCAATATTAAATTCTACCTGCATATAATTCAGGACCATATACTGCTCCAACCACAGGGCTCAACTTCCAACCTGAAAAAATAAAGGCACATGTGAGCAGCTAGACCTTCCATCAGTGAGACAGCAAACAACGAAGTATGTACAGTATGTAGCCTAACTTCTAGTAATTATTACCTTACTTCCATACAGATGGTTCCTATGCATAAAAACAGGCTACATTTTCCTGATTTCTTGTGTTCTGGACATAAATAGAGGAGGAAGTACATATCACTAATGCTTTCTGACAAGTCCATGTCAATTCCTTCCTACAGTCTGAAAACAAAGCTTGTATTGCATTGTGTTTTTCTTCTTTTTCTTTTTAAAGGCTGTGGTTGTAGTGAAGGATCAAATGAAAATTTTGAAACCATATCAAAAGTATCCAGTAGGAATGCCCATGTTATTTATGAAATTAGAGCTTGAGATCTTTGAACTGATCTTTGAACATCAGTTAAGGAGAGATTCCACAATACTGAGCATATTGGTGAGCATCTGAAGGGAATGAGAGGGATGCCTATCTTAGAAGTCCTCATACATAAAACCAACTGTGAAAGGACTACAACCAAAGAACACAGTATAAACTTTGTGGGGTATATGATGTGTGATTATTACAATTTGCCCAGATTTGACCCTGGGTAATGCAAATGCATATACTAATCAAGAGACACTTCCTATTACTTTCTCTATCAAGACAATGAAACCTATAAAAAAAAACAGTAGCTAATCAAGTCAATAGGACTCAACAAAGAGCCTCCTGCAATGTGAATGGAGTTAAAAATAAAAGTGATGAAATGATCTGAGTTGCAACTGGGATGAATGAATACTGGAAGGAATATTTTAGAGATTTTATAACATGAGTATGATAATGGAATTGAAATGAATGCTATAAATGTTATTGTCCAAAAATGATGAAAAGAAAGTCATAAATATCCTGAGAATATTAAAAAATCTTAAAACTGCAGGTGTAGATTGTGAAACTAGACAAATGTTAAAATTGGGATGTGGCTTACTTATAGAGTAGCTGGGCAAGTTGTTTTAATGTGTTTGTGAAGATTGCATGTGCACCTGACAATTGGAAGAATGTTATTATTATTTCCCTATACAGAGGAAAAGGTAAGGAGAGTGAATAACAAAAATGACAAGAGTAGTTTGCTACATGTGCCTTGGAATGGGAAGGTGTTTGGCAGAATTCTCATTGAAAGGGAACTAGAATTGACAAGGAACAAAATTTGGGAAGTACAGCATGGCTTTATGCTGGGCAGGCAGTGTATGCACCAAATTTTTGTTCTTCAACAGATCATTCAGAAATGTATGAATGGAGAACATTTATAATATATTTACTGATTTAGAGAAATCATGTGACAAAGTGAATAGGCTTAAATTATGGAATATTTTTGTGTGATGAAGTTGATGATTGGTTGGTTAATGCAGTTAAGAGTAGTATATAATGAAAGAAGAGCAGGCCTGAAAATAAATGAATTGCATAGCAAATGGTTCATCATCAAGTAGAGTGTAAAATGGGGTGTGCCATCTCCTTGGTTTTTAATGTTTTAATAGATAAATTACACTTATGAAGTTAAAGTTGGGTTGATTGGGGACATGCATGTGTGTACTTTAGTATGCAGCTAATGCCATATTGTTAGTCAAGAACCCAAATGATTTGCAGTAAATGTTAGATCAAATGTATGAGGCAGAGAGGTGTACAGATTTGAAAATCCTGAACAATGAACAAAGCAGTTCTGTTTGACAGGGAAAATGGAATGAATAATTACAAAAATTAGAGCAAGTAGAGGAATGAATGTACCTTGAAGCATGTTTACTAAAGATGGGGAAATGGATGGAGAAATTTTAAGATGTACAAATGCTGACAGATGGTGGATAGCACATGGTCTGCTGAAGGGAATGAAATTTGTAAAAATAAGTGAAAATGGCTGTGTGTGGGAGTAATCTTCTGCACACTTATTATGTGGAAATGAGGGTTGGGTACACAAGGAGAAACAAATTAAACTGAATGCAGTGGGAAAGGGTTACTTAGAAAACATGTGCAGTAAGCTCTGTGATGAAGCAGAGTCAGTCAAGAATGAACAAGTAATGAATGAATGTGGAATGAGTACAAAAGTGAGTGAATAGTGCAAAAAAGAACTCTGAGGTTATTTGGCCTTGGGGAGAGAATGAATGAGGATTGAATCACAAAACAAATATATGAAAGAAGAATGAATGTGTTGAGAGGAAGAGGAAGCCCAAGAAAGATATGGTTGGATGTTGTCAAGAAGAGCCTCAAAAAAGGAAGAACTGAGAAATGGAAAGAATAGAGGCAATATATGAATTGGTGAAAGGACATGACAGAAACAAGGATGGTTTGCGAATATAGAAAGATATAGTGAGTGGTGTTTTAATTTCCTTTTACAATTAACTTCTGGCTTTAATTTATTTTGCCTATTTTTCTTCTTTTTCTGTACTTTATATGATGTTGCTACCCTAAAGGAGAATAGCATGATAGGTATGTATGCATATAGAAAAGCAAATTATGCAGATTGTTTTGTTTGTTTTTAAATCACAGACTGACTATTCTTTTCCCTATGGTTCAGAAGGTAGGATGCAGCCTCCCTATAAATGCAAGACCAATGTCAATGAACATATATATACATCCTTTGCCTATCTCTTCCAATCACTTCCAATTTTTAAAAGCTATATGGAGGCTGGTAAAGATGCTGAACCAGCAACCACCCAATAACCCTCTATCATTTGTACATGCATATCAGTTAGAGTGCAGTTGCTATGTATCAATAATAACAGAGACTTATGTTCTCACCAATTCATCAGTGAACAGGACCAAACATCTAAAGTGATTTCCTAAAGCTAGAATACTTTATCCATGTTTGAGGGCTCAAATAAGCGCCCTTCTTCTCAACATATTTTCAAGGAACGCTCTTCTACCTCCTGACAACCTCTTAAATAGTTCAATATCTATATATAAAGTACCAAGCTTTTCAAATTCTTCTGAAATATCAAACGAAAAACTTAATTCTTATGCCTGTAAGTGCTCCTCCATTCCTCAGCACCAGCACTTTGTCTTACCATTTGCATATGGTGTGACCATCTTCTTATTAGTCATTACTCGTGCAGTGGCATTATTAACCTAAAAATTAAAAGGGAAAAGGGAAGAGAGGGAAGGAAGCACAACACTTTAGAGAAAATGGTGGAAACCTTTCAGAATATTTTTTAGACAAAAAAGCTTTTAAAAATCAGCACATTGAAATTTACTTTTACAGATTGTCCCTAAATATTACAATTATAAGCATATCTAATTTTTGTATTTTAATTATGCATTGAAGAAAAGGCTAAAAAGAGTAGATTTTCTCAGGCATCCCTGCCAGGTTTGACTGCACTATTTAATGCTCACTGGTTCAAGGGCAAAAATTCCCCCATTGCTATTTTTTGTGCCCAGCTTGACTGGCATGAAACAGAAACAAAAACAACCTTGTCTTGTCCGTTAGTAGCCTTTCACTGAACTGCAGTTGTCTACTAATATTACAGAAAAGATCTGCTGCTATTTGGGCAGAAGAGCTTGAATTCCCAGGTGTCTTGGATTAAGCTGCTCTTCTTCTAAAGGACTTTGCATTCCAGAGCAGCACTGCTTGGCCTGTATCTCAGTTTTGGAGTACTCTGAGAGGCCATCAACCCCAATTTTCGCCAGTTGCTGACTTGTCAGGAGAAAAACGAACAGCATAAGAAATGTATGAAGTGTCTCCTGATTTTTTTTGTAAGTGTCCTCCACTCTCACTACTGAGCTGTTCATTGCTCAAGCTTTCTAAGCACTGCAGCAAATGAATGTTACAGCACAGATGATGCTAGTAAAACATTGGCAGTGTGGATAAAGCCAAACTATTGCAACCATGTGCCAAACACAGTCACAGAGTTCTTGCAGAGGGTGAAAGCAGAGATAGAATCAGTGACTTTTCAAAACTCTAGATCCAAATGAAGAAAAAGCCTCATTCTAATTTCAAGATCAAGAAAATAAAGTAGGATGGTTGAAATGCCCTCTGAACTTTAAAACAAAAGTGAGCTTGGGCAGGGAAGAAGGGAGCCTGGAATCTCATCACTCTTGTTTTAGCCCCCCCACCCCCCATATAAACATTACACATTAAAAAAAAGAATGGGAAACAACAACAATGAGACTGATAGCATGCTGTTAAAACACACATAAAAAAGAAAAACAACAACAACAACAATTGATTAACGGGGATAGGGATGGGAAGAGAAGTCTCACAGACAATCATTAAGATGGAGCAAGTGCCTGAAATCAACTGCTACAGCAGAATGCAATACAAGCACTTAAAGGAAAAATGGGCAAAACCAATCAGAAACCACCAATCAGCAAAGACCAACAGCTATATTTAACCAAGTAAAGAAAAATGGCAAGTGAGGAAAGGAGAACAATCATAGGTCCAAAGAGAGGGAGTGCAGAAAAGAAATTGGGGGCAGGGGGAGATGGATAGGCAAAAATGAAAAGTGTATGGGTGCATTAATAAAACCAGCCAAAACTGGAGTTCAGTAACTCTGAGTAAGATGTGCAAGGAAAATTACTGGGAAGTCAGTAACCAAACAGCTCAGACTTAAACAAAATGGTATGTACATCCAAAATCCAGGTGGCATTACTTAACAGCATTGAAAATAAAAGGGTGGGAGGGAAGAAAAAGGAAAGGGGGGGACAACAAGTCAAATCACATTTTGTAGTGTTAATGTGAAATGGCAGATGGATTTTTTTTCTTTCTTAAATTTTTTGTTTTGCATAAAAGAAAATAAAAGAAGTAAGCTTCTCCTCTAGCACTTTGATTTCACTTACCGCCAACTCGTACCATCGCCAGCATTGTGTATAGTTACCATGGAAAGAGTGAGTCAAGTGAAGGGCCCTAAACACTAAACCATTGAAAAGGGAAATAAAACAAAAACAAAAACAAAAAAACAAAACAAAACAAAAAAGCAAAATATGCAGACATCTTACTCAAAACGGCGGCTTTAATTTTTTCCTTATATTTAGTAATTTTTTTCCTTTAAAAAGAAAGAACAAAAAGGGGCCAGTTAGCCTTCTATATGAGGGAACAGAAAATTCATCACTAAGGAGTTACCTCTCATCTAGGTAACACAAGCTGCTTGTGCTTATCACAGTCTACACTCATTGCTGAAATTAATTATGAATGCATATTTCTTAATTTGAAATCACATTTACATAGAATTTCAGTAGCTCAAGTTCTTCCTGATCTCGCCATCTACCCCATCCCAATATTAGTTTCACACTCATATGGAGGAGAACTGGCCTCTGAGTCAAGGGCAGATACTGGCTGCCCCCCCCTTCTTTCTTGTTAGATACCAAGTTACAAATGGGACTATGCTCATTTTGTTAGTTTTGATCTGGCTTGGAAATAGAAAGTCGGAGCCTCATTAACTGAAGCAAAGGAAAATCAAGATAGCAGAAGGGCAAAAAATTTGGAGTGTGTTGGAAACAAACTTAAGAGAAAGGAAAAAAAAAGACAAAGAAAAATACCTAAAATAACAAAAATATATAGATATATATATATATTGGGAGGTTATTTTATACACTTCAGTGCAGGGGACGGGAGTGAAAAACACGGGACACAAACACACACACACGCACTAGACAGGAATCCCAATGTGAAATCAGTGAGGCAAGACACAAAAAGGAAACCAAAGAAGAAATATAAAGAAGAAATTGAATTACTGAAGACATGCACCTCGATTTTACGGCCCTCTACCACGGTGCCGTGTAATTTCTCCCTGGCCCTGTCTGCATCAGCACTATTCTCGAAAGTTACGAACCCGAATCCCTGCATGCAGCGGGAGAAGGGGGAAAACATGCACATCGTTATATATTGAAATACTGATATCTAGATAAATAGAGAAAAAAATATCACAGTATGAAATTGAGATCAGCACAACTTAGCAATACTCTCCTAGAGTCACATTTTTGGTTCATGCATGTTTCATGAAAGAATTTCAATTAAAAAAAATAACTTTAATCAGATTGAAAATAATAAAACATAAAAGCAATTGAGGCCAGACCAAAAAAAGCATAGTTACTCGAGACACAGTCTAAAAAATAAACTAGCTCCAAGATTGATCAAATAAAATATATTAAAACCAGGAAAGAAATCTTGCTATAAATTACCATTCAAATGCTCTCCTTTACTGCATTTTCAATAATTTCCTTTTATATGACAAGGATACACAGGCAGATGCTTTGAAGAAAACCTACCAAAAGGAGGTGTCATATCAGTCCCCTATATTTTAATGTTGATCAGAAAGCCATATCCTCTTTAGCAGCTTTTGGCCTCATTTTTTTTTCCAGCTCTCACTCACCCATCCAAAAACAATGCTTTTAGCTTCAGGTACACTAGGAACTATTATATCCCCAGTGGTGAAAATCAATTATTATCCCTCTGATAGTGGCCTTCAACTTTTCAAACCTGAAACCATGTTTTTAAATTCAACTAGCATTATGAAACTCACATAATTGTGTTTGCCTTTCCATAATTCCATGTTTTCTTCATCTTCCACCATTTCTTTTGATTTAGACAAAGAAATAACAATCTACCTTGTGTTGGGAATGCAATCCATTACCTGAAGACTAATGTGCTTTAGGTAACCGGCCTCATTATTTTTCTGGATGGTATTAATATATATATATTATATATTATACAGGCACACAAACACACACACACAGGCACACACAAGTACACTTTTTTTGCCTCTTATATATTTATCTATTGTCATATATATATATGAATGAATGAATATATGAATGACAATAGATAAATATATAGGAGGCAAAAAAAAGTGTGCTTGTGTGTGCCTGTGTGTGTGTGTGTGTACATTATATTTAGATTTTTATCTATTGTCATATATATATATGAATGAATGAATATATGAATGACAATAGATAAATATATAGGAGGCAAAAAAAAGTGTGCTTGTGTGTGCCTGTGTGTGTGTGTGTGTACATTATATTTAGAATTTTGACAATAACGTGGGCATCTTCACTTTTGTTTCCTGTTTATTTTTTAAATTTAGACTAAAAGTATCCTTAAAAAAAAAAGATCAGGTGGGGCAGGGAGACTTAAAGATATCATGCAGGATATACAGGTCACACTGGTGATCATAAGCACTAGGTTGCCTATCCTTATTAACAGTAGATATTAATGATACTATAATATATAGCTAGGAATGGACACTGTAGCTCACTGTAGCTCAGAAAAAAATCCTTAAGCTATTTTCTATTTCAACACAGGAAAGCATAGCCACTTTATATCTAATCAACTGTTTCTATGCTTGATTTCTTCACTCCGAAAACCCCGCTGTATATTCTGGAATTAGTACTTTAATGAGGTTGAACAACACTTTCTAATGGAAGAGAACAAACTTAATTAAATATAGTACATCATAAAACGATGCAGTCTAACAATTGAGTGTAAAGATGGAATGATTACTTCTTTGTTCAGCTTGTTTTTGAAAGCTTGGGATTTAGTTAAGGGTCTAGAGGGCTCCTGTCCAGGCAATAAACAATCCACTCCTATTGAACTTCAAAAATGTTATAGCAGTAGTTGTCACTCACAAAAATGTACAGATTGAGCTTAACAAGGTTGAGATAAAATGCCACCAGCTACATTTGAAACATAATCAGTTTATCTTAATCTTTGCTAATATTATCACTATGAAGACAGGAAGAGCAGCATTCATATAATAACCGAAGTTCCAATCTACATAAACCTTTTTTCCAAAAGTAAGTACAAATAAATTCAATTGGATTTACTAGCGGGCAGACATTCACAAAACTGTACTATAGTAGGACATGTAAGACCTAACCCTATATTTATTTTCAGGAAACAGAAGTATAAAAAGTATGCATGCTTCATGCAATAAAAATACGCAGTAGCTGGAGAAAGTTCTTCAACTACAGGAAAAAGTAGTAAGTAGATCATGGTTTTTAAATTAATCTTGAAGGTATTGTAACAAGAATTTACCTGGGCTCAAGATATTCGCCATTATCAATGGTGCTACATATACTTGATTTTCAGCTGGGTTTCCTCTGTTAAGCTATTTATATTTGTAAAGTTCATTACTGTAGAATTAACATCCAAGGAACAGGATAAAAATCTTTATTGCTGTTGGCCACTATAACATTTCCCCCCTTTTTTTCCTCCCCAAAATGCAGACTTTTGCATTCTCTGGAAGATCAGGGAGAAAAATGCCACCTTCCACTGTTGTAAGTCTTCCTACTACAACAATTGGGTGAAAATTATAATTACTGAGGAATTTTATGGGTTTTTGCTACCTCATGATTAGGAAAATGAGATTCCATTAGAACTGATAGACTCATACACCAAGAATTTAGCAAATGCATGTTCTCTGCAAATTGAAATAATTGCCTTAAAAGCTCCTCCTTCCCAGGCTTACATGGATTATGAAATGGAACTGCAAAGTGAGCTACGTCCTTTAACATCTCTACGTATTTTTAAGCACATTTCATTTTGCATCAGATGAGACAAATCTGTGAACAACATGAAGTCTGTCTTAATGGATATGATTCCAGTATTACCACTGCAGCAAAAATCAAATGTACAGTGCAAAAGACCTTTAGTATAATTTGTTTCACAGGGTTCTTATGAAGATATAAGGGTATATAGCCTTTTACAGAGCTAACTGAATTCCTTGCAGAACAGCCAAGATACAAAGATGATAAATAAATGCACTCTTATCTCTTCCGTGAGTACACATTTATTTTACTACACTTCTAAACATTTTTACACCTTCACCTAAAAAAATGATATAGAACTTTGGACCATAAAGCTATATGAACTTCTTCGGATTTTACTTAATGTTTGGAGGAAGTCTCAAATAATAAAAAATAAGTACTGGTTTCTTGGTGTTCTCTGAACTTCGTTCTTTTCCTGAAACATTTGCAGGACAACAACCAAATCCAGGGAATACCAAGAACCCAACAAATCATCCCTGAGCTACATATATTCTCTAGTATTGGAAAGGGAGTATGTATCACACAAAATACACTCTTTCCTTTAAAGGTAAATTTGATTTTATCCTCCCTAAACAAACCCCTTCATACTGAGCAATATTTTAATACTGGATTAAAATTTTCAATATCTCGCAGTTCAGAAGGAAAAAAGGAAAAGAATGTAACTAGCTCAAGAATGGTATGTAATTTTATAACCATTCCTGCTAGCCTGTTTTAATGGGATCTGCTGATAGTTTTGAACTATTTTTACAGCGCAACTTTTATTTCATTTAAATTTGAAAATATTACCCAGTCCATTTAACTTCTAACTGTACTAAATCCTCAAAAACTTGCAGAACAACCTGCAGCCCAAGGGGACCCTGTTTTCTTTACGGAGCTGTTCAAGGACCCTGAAGAGACCGAGTAACTGTCACCTTTTTAGTCTGGCCTCAGATTCTGCAATAAATAACAAGCAACAGGATGAGCAGTGTAAAAATAATAATTGTACAGAGTTTTTTAAAATGTTTCCATCTCTGAAGAATGAGAAAGAAAATTTACCATGTAACCGTAAAGGGAGAAATCAAAAGCAGACGATTCTCCTGGGTGTGGCCAGAACACAGAAATTAAGGGAAAAATAATAAAAACAAAACAAAACAAAAACAAATAAATGAAATAAATTCAAAGGAAACTAAAAGGAGCCCCTTGAAATCCATGCATTGTTAACACTTTTTTCCCACTGTGTTTAGAACATTGACTTCAGAAGCAGCATCTTTATCTCAAGGTATTGGGAAAAACTTTCCATAATTTCAATTGTTAATATATATATATATATATACACGCATATACAAAGAGGCATTTTTTAAAAAACTCAGTCAACAGCCAGAAGCCTGGACAAATGGAACAAGAACAAAAAAAATAAATAAATAAACATAAAAATCCAGGCTTTCAGGTTATTTGCTTTCAAAGTCAATATACAATTTTTTGGCCATCCTTCATAATCCATCTGAGATGAGTGATTGGAATAAAGTCCCAGGAAAAATATCCTACTGCTGTTTAAAGTGAGGACACTATTCTTCAAGATCTGCAAAGATAATTGTGGAATTTTTGTCTAGAATTACTTTGCATAGGTTGAACTTAAGGATGCATATTTTACAGCTATTTAATTAGACTGATCAAAGCAATTTTATGTGTATATGCTGGAATTCAAGATGGAGTTGTTTAAGATAATATGAAAAAAATAAAGAAAAGTGCTTTTCAAAGTAAAGTACTTTTGCTGTTTGAAGTAAATTCAAAATAATTTTTTAAAAAGTGGGTACATATAGAATTGCATCTGTTAAGAGATCAGAGTAATCAATGTTAAATGCAATCTAGAGTAATGAAATAAGATTTTGTTATTAGGATTTTGTAACTAGACCAGTTAAATTAAAGTCTTCGCATGCAATCTCTCATTTCTTAGAATACTTATCTATAAAAGCTACTGCATTTTATAGTTGAGTGGGAACATATAGCCCTTAGCAGTTTTCTATGCAGCTTTAGGCACTATTCTATTTTTCCCCACTGTATCAACTGGGTAGTGAGAACAGACAGCTGTTTTCTCACTGCTACTTGCAACAGGAAAAACATCAGCCTCACTGGGAGGGAAGTGAGGCTGATGTTCCACTGATACAGACATGCAAGACCACTGATTCCCCACAGCTTATCAGTATCTTAACAGAGAAAACAGAGAGGAAGCTGAATAAAGGTGTATGTGCATAAGTTGTTATCATGGCACACATACCTTTCCCACACTCACTGTTAGCTCTGCTTACCTGAGTGGCTCCTAAAGAATTCTGCAAGAACATGCCAACAGAGGATAGCAGAAAAGCACTCATTCATACATTCTAACATTTCAGTCTTTCACATTGTTCCACACAAGCTGTCTATAGAGGAAGAGAACAACAACCACAAGAACAAGCTTTCAATTAAATATGGATGACTGAGCTGAGTTAATGTGTTGGACTAAGACTGCAGAGACCAATATTCTAGTTGATATTCAAGTTCAGTGGTAATTTTGGACTAGTCATGATCTTCCAGGGTTGTTGTTGGGAGGATAAAATCAGAAGGACAACTGTGTACACTGCCTTAAGACAGTGCCTAAATAGAAGAAATAATAAAAATAACAACTACTATTACTACTATCATAACAACTACTTGCTTGGTTCAGTCATTGCTCTATTGAAAAATAGGCTCATTTGTTAAAATAGGAGTGCTCCTGAAATAAATACTATAGGAGCTTAAGCTGGTATTTTCATGGAAACCAAACTATTCCTAACAGAAAGTAAGCAATCCTCAAGCAAAACTGGAAGAAATCAGCATTAACAGCTCCTTTCGCTAGGCATTGCTAATGAAACAAGAAAGGCCAATGAAAATTACTTAAAAACCAGAAGGTAGGTCTGAACAAAACTGAGACTGTTATGTAAATTACTCAAAACCTTTTTTTTTTTTTAGTTTTCCTAATTACTGCTAGTTATCTAAAATTGTGCCTAAGATAATATTCAAAGGTGAGATGCTCATAAAAAGCATTAAGTCTATATAATCAAAACCTCTTACTCTTAACTTTTTCATTCATTCGAAATGATTTTCACAAGAAAATTGAAGAGAGCCAACATATGGGCACAAACACACTGTACACTCAAAAATCCTTCCCCATGTCAACAATAGGACAAAAATATATCATCACATCTCAGATGGATTAAAAGGTAATTTGAAACTCTCAAATTTTCCAACACTGGAACAATCTGGCAGAGGGCCTTTGCCACAGTTATGAAAGGATAAAGATCTGCTCATTCCATACAGGGAATGGGTGTAGACATACCCAGAGCAATTTGGATTTTACATTTTCACCTTTTAAACATTCACATATTGAAGAATATACCCTTTAGAAACCCAGGGAGGGGAAGGGTAATACTGAGAACACAGCACAAGGCAGGCAGCGGGGAGCATCTGCTTTCCGATTCCCAAGAAAGAGGAGGAGGAGGAGAAAGGTTCCATATCATTAGGTTAGAATAGAAACCACAGGGTAGGATACAAGCATTCAAGTTTTGGCATACTTTTTTTTGCAGAAGAAGTGAGTGATAAGTGAAGGGTCCCTAGAAAGAATTGTGCTTCTCCTCTGGGAACCTATGCTTTTTTTTTTTTTTAAATGTCCCAATTCAATATAAAATGCCGTAAACACAAACACTCTTTGGGAATCCTGCTTTAAAACAGCAACCCTCATTTGAATCACTTTAAAAGATTGCTGTAAATTTGACAGGCAGGTGTTTAAAATTCTACCACCAAATATAAAAGAACTTGATCAATGTCTTTATGAGCTAAATATTTACTAGATAAAAGAAAAGGGGCAAATGGCTATACATTAATCTTAATCACTCTTGTTTTAGCTGAAAACCAGAAGTTTTGGTTTATTTACTTTCACAGTTAAATAGTTATTAAAATACTGTGCTTTATGGAAGATTCCAAACATAAGGACAAAGTGACCTGTTTATTATGGCTTAGCAGTGAACAAGTAGCATACTACTCAGATCATATGCACTGGCTCCTCTTGAGAGCAGCTGTAGATAATGAATTAACAGAAAACATTGTCCATGGTTTGTTTAGCAGTGCGCAAACAAGAAAGAAGCCACATTTTGTTTTAGCTTTTTGACTCCTTTTGAGCCAAAGTCTCTGACTCACACAACATGCTAAACAAGTCATAGAAAGAATTTACATAATGTGTTAGCCATGCTTACTCATGGGAGAAGTTAGCGAATGTAATCTCAGAAGAGGCACTAGTCTGCTGCTCATCCTTAATTAAGAATGACACATGAACCAGCCCAGTATATCTGAGTATGTATTAAAATAAGAAGCACATATGAGCACACAGATGTACCCAACATAAAATTACAGATGCATATGAATGCACACAAAAGTACATTCCAGGTCTTTTGCTTTTGCATTTTTTTTACATGTTTAAAAGAAAATAGATTGTGTGCAAGAGTGTTTCCCTATGGCTGATAAAATAATGAAAGCAAACATAATGTAAAGGTACCCTGCAACCATCTAAACTGTGCAGAGGACAGTATGCTATTTAGAGATTCAAATATAGCAGATTGCTTTCATTCTGTGAAAGACAGTAAATGTAAGATCCTCAACTTGTTAATGGTTGCATAGTTCAAATGGCCTGCCTATAGTACTTTAACCAGTCTCCTGCTAATCCAAAAAGCAATTTACATCTCTGGCTTACTTCCCCATACAGCTACTTGCAAAAGCCTAGGTATATTGAAGGGTAGTGGTCAAACATAGTATCCTTTTCACTTCATCATTCAAACATATATAAGGGATATATGACTAATAAGAAGCATGCAGTTCACTGCAGTTTGCAGCTCTTCACAAATTAAATAATTCTGTGCTGCAATAATGTTATCCTACATGTTCATAAACTAAGCTATAAGACCCATCTACTTTTTCAAAAGATAAATTAGCCCGAATACTAAATGTATTGTATAACATACAAGTATTAAATACCACTGCTTTTCTGGTTTTCAGGTAATACATAGGAAATCCAATATGCTAACTAACGCGGTAATCTTGTATATAAACATTGATTATTGGAGCTACTCTGTGCAGATTATGAATCTGAACATCCTAAAGACAGGATATAAAAATAAAATACTAACTATGCCTTAAACTATGATGTGATGGGGTGAGGGTGTGGGACAGATGTTCATTTTTAATAAAAAGTGGAAAACTTAGCATTGATTAAGTCAAGCATAGTAGAGACATGCACTGTGCAAGCTTCCCCCACAGAGCTCTGCCAATGCACCTTGCTCCTGACCTGAAACACTCCCTGCTATTCCAGTGCTGGACCTACCGGGCAGAGAGAGAATCACATCAATTCTTCAGTGAGGGGACATTGGTTTCATGATGAGAACCGGTTAGGACAAGCATCACTTAAAATTGCTACACTTAGGACTATAAGGTTTGCCATTTGCTCTCCAGAAAGTTAACTATTAAAAAAACCTTACATCATTCTGAACAGCTTGCATTTTGAACAACTACACTTTTCTAAAAAGCTGAAAGCTTTTGCAGACACTGTGAGAGGATGGGCCAGCATACTTGCAACATTGGGGGATTATTACATCAGATGGGCAGATAATTTTTCTTTCACACAAGATAACTCTTATCCCATATATAAAATATTTTTAGTGTTTTTTTATAGTGTTTTTTTTCCCAAACACTTTAAATTAACAGGAATTAGAAGAAAAATTGCCTCTGATAGCTTCAGTGATCCTTTTTACTCTCAGAGGTTTGGAGAAGTCTGATATTTCAAAGGGAAAATTATAAAATTATTAGCGAAGATACTTATTGGTTATATGCAACACCTATAATTATGTGGAGTGGCAGCTTTAGGTAACCCAGTGCCTAGTTCCTTTTCTGTCTACACAGAATATTATCTAGGAAGGAAGCTGCCTTATCTTGACAACTGGAAGGGTAGAGTGGTAAGGGAGAGAAACAGGTAGAGGCTGGATAAAGAAACAAAACTTACCTTGGACCCACGTTCATTGAAGATTATCTCTACATCAAGGATTTTGCCAAATTGCTATTAAAAAAAAAAAAGATTTATTCTGGTTAGTTAATTCAGCATCCTTTATAATGACAATCTTTCATGGCTAACTGAGAAAGAAATGCTTTTGAATGCACAGTTGATATTTTATAATGAATTAAAATTTAATAATTCCTGTTTATTTGTTGAATTAATCCTGGTTGTCAGTTTTATAAACTTCACAGTCTATGATAAATTCTATGCAAAATATAAAGTAATGAAAGTGGAGTCCTTGGTGCTTTCTGAGCTGGGCTGTTTGCTTGCAGACATTTCATTACCCAACTCGTATGATGATGTTACCTAGTTGGGTAATGACATGTCTGCAAACAAACATTGTCTGCAAGATGTCAGAGAGCACCAAGGACTCCACAATTCAACCCTGAGCTACATACATTCTTCTCTACTGGAGTAACAAAATTGACTATTCACAATTGCAATACGGTACAGTGGCTGGTTAACTAGACAATAAAGTGTATGGTTCCATAATTTTCATGTTTTTTTACAGGATAGAGTATTCCAGTCAGCTCTCTTCCAGGATATTCATGCCATTTCCCATTTACATGGTTTTAACCTTCTACCCATTTTCCACACCCACTTAATATTCTCATACTCAGTCTTCTCCAGGCTGTTCTCTTGGGTTTCATTATGTCTCTTCGGCTTTTTCTATTTATTGTTATTGTTCTGCAAACTTCAAGGTTTCTCCAAATCTACTGAACCTCTCTCTTCTTCATGGTAGTGGATTTGATTACACAATTAGAGCTAAATAGAATGCTGCACATGTACAGATGGGGGACAATAACGAAAAAGCTTTTTTTTAAGCAGGAGGCTGCCCACAGTGGGTGTACTGGTTGGCAACAAAGTAAGTGGACCAGAAGCCACCTTTTCGAATACTTAAGTGTAATTTCCTCTATTCTCCTTTTCTGCTCATTCTGTTTTACTCTCCACTTCGAACTTTTTGAGAGGAATTCTTTCTTCAGTCAGCCATCATAGAGCTGACCCGACCCCCCCCCCTTACTTTTCTTTGCTTTTACAACCCTGAATCAACTCATACCACTCAATAGTTCACTAGTTGCTGTTTTGGCTAAATAAACAATAGCATTCAGAGAACAAAGTTATATTGATTTGAACAATCCATGACCAAGAAGTTCTTCAGGGAAAGGAATGTTTCTGAATTTAATGAGATGTGCTCAACCAAGTAAATTCTTTAGTGAAATGCAGACATCAACCTTTGAAGCTCTTAGTGGCTTAGAGCCAGGTGAGCCAGAATATCACTTTTTCTTACATATTACCCATTCTGTAAGATCATTTATTGAACCCTTTTCTTGGGCTGTCTCTATCAAATGACGTCTTAAAACAGCTAACTTATTTTAGTCATGGAACTTCAGTTGTAGAATACCATGCTCAGGAGGTGGATATATCATATAGTTGTTTTATTTCCCCAAGCTTTTCCATCTTAAAATCTGTTAATACTTCCTAAATTATTTGTATTATTTTATTTATGTTTAAATACAAACATACTTCTACCCAAGCTTTTTCCTTACAATAATCTTTTGAGTAGATTGGCCTGATAGCAACTGGCTCAAGCTATTCAATGAGCAATAAATAGCGGTTTGGGCTTAGTGGTTAGAGCAGTGTTTCTCAACT